TGCATGTGACATTACAGAATGAAAGATGAGACTGAGCCTAATTAATGGAGGCTTTGTCTTCACAGCAGCTTTATTCCTAATAAACAGTGTGACATTTTATTAACCCAGACACAACCTCCTGCACAAAGACTTGCATACAAAGCAATAGAAAATCACAAATGTGGAGTCTCTCGTTCTTTTTTTCCGGGACATGATTTCAGGGGCTGTCACATACTTCAGGCTTCTTATGGCTGCTGACAATGATCAGCTCTGGGGCCTTGCAGTTTCAGACACCATGCTACACAGTTTCTCCCATCTACACCTCAGACTGTGCACAAGTACTGTATGGGCGCCATACTATCATTACTCTGCAGGTAGGACAACTCCTGTTGGAAAGGTGAATTGATGTAGCCTATCAGTGGTGGAGCCAAGTTCCAAACCAGTGTATTAGATTTCACAGCGACTCCTCCCACAGATGCATGCCTGTATGCTGAGGGCATAGCATGTAAGTTTTCTCTGCATGGCTGTATTCCTCTGTGCACATGATCATAACTAAATATCATATGTGTTCACATGAATCAGGGAGGTTTAAACAAAGGGTCTCTAATTTGACTATTAGTCAATATTTGGTTGAGAAACCCCCAGGTGGATATGAGCATCTTTTAGATACATGATAATTCAGTTCTTGCTGAGTTAGGAAAGGTCAACAGAGTGGAGTCATCCTAGCATCACTCTGCTAACCAGTGATACGGTTATAATAAATTGGCTTATCACCATGGGTACCAGAACGATGTCTCCAGCAGCTTGCTTGGCTGGCCCTCGAGCTCTGCTGACAGGAGACAATGCTGGTAACTGCTGCTCCTTTGATCCCTTCCTCCACCAAGGAGACTGAGTCCTTAGGCTAGGTCAGCAGACATGTGTGCACGGAAGAAAAAGAATCAAGTCCAGTCTCCCTCTGTGAGTTAATGACCATGATGCTTTGGGCTCACTGGTTTCCTCCACTGTATTGTTCACTACCCTGTGACTCAGAGATAGCAATGTCCAGTTCCTCCCATACTGTTTCACGAGGGTAGTGTGCCTGTGACTGGTGGGTCAGAGCTCTGGGCAGGAAGCATGGAGAGTGGTTTAATGGACCTGTGAGGACACACTCAGGGTTGTAACACCAAGCCAAGCCAAGGCACCTGCACACTCACGGGGTTAGGATTTGGGGCTGATGAAATATTTCTTTTGAAGTCAGTGAGGCCAGAATCAGTCAGTCAACAACAAAAGCAGTCCAGAAACTGACCTTTCCCCTCTACCAGCTCTCACTGGGAAGAGAAAGAGAGGTCTGGTTTTGATGTCAAAAATATAGGGCAACCTTTTTAGTTTCCCAGAGATTAAAAGAAACAAAAGATGTATGAATAGAGATATTCTAAGGCCTATCTAAATACATGCCTGTTTTATTTTAATGCGCCCAGTGTCAGATGGGCATATATCATAACTCGATATTTATTACTATCTGTATACATATTTCCCTGACTTAAGTTGTCCAGTCTGATAAGCTGGGACCAAATCTAGTCAGTGCTTTCTGGAATGCATGTCAAACTGTTACGTAAAATTAGACATTAAAGGGTGTCTGATAGAGATAATCATGAAGAATGAGGACTGTTGATTCCATGGGAGACACATGGTGGAAGGCCCCTGTCTCTCCCACAATGTCATAGAACCATCTAGTTAATGGACACTTGTGCACAGGGGTCAGCAGAACTAACTAAATGTTGAGCGGTTGTGGACCAGCTGTATCAACACTGCTTGGGACACCCTGACAGAAAAACAAACCCCAGGCCACAGCCCACACTACTGAGCCAGGATCTGCAATTTTACAAGACACCCACGTTAATTCTATGCTCATTAACGTCTAGCAAGCATAGACTCAAGGCCCAGCCAGTTCAACTGCTTCATTTTACAAGTGAGGAGGTTTTAGTCTTAAATAGGCCAAGGGACTGACCAGCAGGGTGTAACCTGTCCTTCTTGGGACTCCAGCATCCAGATTCCAGAGTTGTACAGCTTCCAGCTCACTCATGCTCTTCCTCACATGACCCTACTGTGGGGTGTTGGGATTTAAAATGTGAATGAGCAACACTGTGGCACAGGGAACCATACAGACTGATTGTGTTTGCTTGTCACAGGGTCTATTCTTTCCTTAAAGATGTAATTGTGTGTGCATGTGTCTGCATGTGGGTTTGTGTTCATGTGAGTGAAGGTGCCTGTGGAATTTAGATGAGGGCATTCCCTCCTGGAGCAAGAGTTACAGGCAGTTGTAAACTGCCTGCCATGGATGCTGGGAATTGAACTCAGGTCCTCTGAAAGAACAGTACCTGCTCTTAACAACTGAGCCACCTCCCTACCCACCACCTATATTCTTCCAATGCCCTTAATACATTTACAAGATGCTATGGATGGAAATGGAGAAGAGCATTTCTCAGGAGTAGGCTTGCTCACCACATGCTGCCTGGGGTGACTGATGACGTGTGGAACTGGACACCCTGCTTTTGGGGATGAGCTGGAAATCCCCATATTTCTACACTTCTCTGGTCCAGTGATGCAGCTCTGACCACAGTTCTCTTCTGACCCTACTCTTTACTTTATTACATGCTTTAAAGTCACAGCTTACACATGGCTCAGCCCAACCAAACTTGTCAAACCCTCCAGGATGTGCATTCCAAACAAGATTAGAGCCACAGCCTCAGGAACCTACTTGAGTTGCTACTGATACGCTGGTTTTCTAAGCCATCCTCTAAAGCAGCTCCTTCCATACCTTCTAGTCTGGATATCACGTATGTCCCCAAACAGGCTTGGAAACATTAATTTCTAAGTAGGAGAATTTGATTATGGTGATTTCCCCCTAGATTTCAGCTGTGAAAGCAGCCAGAATGTAAAGGATATTCAATAATATTCAGATTACATCAATGTTGTGCCATTAATATTTTAAGAGGCTGAAAAGGACAGGCAGGCTCTTTAATCTGTCTGTCTGGCAGGCATCTGTCTTCACTCACATGTGATCAGCAACTGGTCTCCTCCCAGCATATGGTAACTTTTCTAGGAAAACATTAATTTCTTATGTGTGAAGAGACTGTATGTTTGTCCACACCAATACTTTGTCTACCAATTAGGAATCAAAGAAGGACATGCTGGATATAAGAGCACTGCACTGAAGAAAACATGGCTTCAGAAACACAAGAGAGTAGCTAAATCAATAACTCAAGATGTGGGAAGAATATTAAAATGTTGCTGAAAGCCAAACACCATGAATCGCGGGAGAGGACGATGAATTGATCCATGTTCTACCGATTCCTAAATAAACCACGAGATCAAACTGTTGCTCTCCTGAAAAGGCTGTAGGGCTCCTGGCTCACTGTGAATTGGAGCTCTTGCTCTGGATGCTACCAACCTGCCACCTCCCCCTAGACTTGATCTCCATTATTCCCCACCTACCCAGTTCTGATCTCTTCAGTCAGAATCTAAGGCCTAATCTTTGTGTGTGCAAAAAATAAAAACTAGGTCTCCAGACTACAGACTGTTTTAGATTAATGGTGAGATCTTTGATCTTTCTCTTCATCACCTGACAGGTTCTGATATTTACAATATCCATTTTTAACTTCTCAACCTCTCTACAAGATCCTGAACTACCACTGCTTACAAGAACTTGCATGTACACACACATACCCTACATGTCCACACAAGACACATACATATATATAAACATACATGTGTGCACACGTGCGTGTACACACACACGCACACACGCACACATGCACACGCATGCACAGATTCTCAAGCATATACCCCCTCGGCACATCTCCAACCTGAGAGGAAGAGGGGAAGGTAACAGAAGAAAGGGACCTTTGCCTTCTTTGCATGGGTTTCCTACCCTCACAGGCCTGTGAAGAAATAGAGACGTGGAAGGAGGGCAGAACGGGGAAGGAAGGAAGTTATCTTACACCCCTGCAGTTATCTGAAATGCTCCTCCTCAGCTTCCACTCTGCAACCGTTAGGTCTGGAATCTGAGATTCTCTCACAGCCCCCGAGTGTTTGGGACACTGGGTCCAGGGATGGTGCAGTTTTGAGAGGCACAGAGCCTCTCAGAGACAGGGCAGAACAGGCCTCGAGGGCAAGCCTTTGACAGCTCTACCTTCCTCGGGCTCCTCCTCGCCTCGGCTTCCTGGTCTGCTGTAGATAGGCTCCTGACGCCGTGACCGGAGCTGCTCTGCCCTGACGGCCTGAAACACGCTGGAGCTGTGAGCCCAAACACACCCTCCTCGAGTGTGTCCAGCAGCATTGTCACAACAGTGCAAAAGCACCTGATCCAGCACCCCCCAAGGAGCCCAGTGTGTGCGATAAGGTGGGATCAGGGGTGGGGAGGGGGTGGTAAGAGGCGGGAAGAAAAACACCTCACTATGCTGCTCAAGACTTCAGATCTATTCTTCACCTTTCCTGGGGTCAGCAGCTGCTGAAGAAGGGAGAAGAGTGAAGCCCCACACCTCCTGCTCTCTCCAAAGCCCTCAGGCTCCCTTCATCGCCGTCTTGCGCCCTCTGCTCCGTTGAACCCTTCCCGCAATGCATGCTGGTTCCTTCCCCACATCCTGAAACCCACTCGGAGCCCGGGAGGAGGGATGGAAGAGCAGCTCCCTGGAGACAGGACCCCAGCTTCTTGGAAATCACTGGTCCTGCTGCCTCTTCTTCCACAACAATCGAGCCCATGGAAAAGGAATCGATCAGTGAAGACCCCAAGTTCCTCACAGGCCCACTGGCATACATGGATTAACTGGCTCTCAACACACAGAATTAAGAACATGGAATTTATTTTCTTTGAGGTTTTAATATACATCTTTAGTTGTGTATTTTTTTTGGTACACATAACTTAGTTGTATATTTTTGTATATATTATTTAGTTGTATTTTTTTTGGCAGACATCATTTAATTGTATACTTTCTTCTAATACACTTGTTTATTCAGGCAAGGTGGCTTAAACATTTAGTCTGCTTAAAATCAACTTCAAAACTTTAAAATCTATTAATAACAATTTTAAAATTTATTAATACTTTAAAATCCAATATCTAAGAAGACTTGAGGTTCAGCTAGGGATGGTGTGTAATCCAAGTACTCAAGAGACTGATGGAAGACGACTATGTGAGACTAACTCATCTGGGACGTAATGAGATACTCTGCCGAAGGGAGAGTATCTCAAAACAACAACAAAACAAACAAAGCAAACCACCCCACGAAACCCAAACCCCCCAAAATAGCCATACTCCCAAAACCAAACCAAACCAAACAAGCTGAGGGTGGTCAATTCCCCTACACATGGAAGACTTTTCTCTGGGCCCCAGGAATGAGGAGATACAACCATCTGTCTCTTTCATGGCCAAGGACTTCCGAAAGCATTCTAGGCCACAAGCGGATGAGTCTTGAAAATGGAGAGCTAGCTGGGCTTAGCACACGGGCTAGGTCAGAACAAACATCTAAGGGTAGAGACGGGTCCTCTAACGAGACAGCAGGAAGAACTCACGTATGACGAGGTCCCAAGCCCAGGGACGGCTCTGCCAACTTCACACTTCTTCGTTGAGAGCAAGCCCCTCCTGTCCTTGTGGCACGTGCCTTCTGTCTGCAGCAGCAAGCACTAGGGGCTGACAGTGCACCAGGACTCTTCTCTACCATTCATCTGACGGCGACCCTGCTCCCACTGATACCACGTGATTCCCGTTTATAGAGGAGAATACTGAAGAGCAGAACTGTGTGCTCCTGGGCACAGAGGTAGGAGGAGGAACAGAAAACAATACAAATCCTTTAGTTATGGATTACAAACTCAGACCCTCACCCTTTCCTCTACTTTATAACCGCTCACCCATTTTGTTATCTTCTCTCTTGAAGATGCTGGAATTCTGCCCTCAGCAACACTAAGGCTAAGCAGTCACTGGTCTGGGAAAGCCAGGCTGACCTCTCTTCCCAGTAGGGATCACACAGATTAGCAGCCAGAGACAGCCAGCTTTGATCTCAAGGAGTCCTTGCATTCCTCCATTTCTTCCTTTGGTTTTGTGTTTTTCCTTATGTAAGTTCATTTCTTTGTGAAATTTTGTTTCTTTGTTTTCTTAATTATAGGAGAGAGCACAAATGCTGTCCCCCACTACCATAAATTAAGCAGCAGATGTTCCCACATTTGGGGATTGCAGGGGTCGGCATATCCAGAGTGCTAAGACAAGCCTCACCTTAGAAAACCACCTTTCTGACTGTTAACTCTCTCCTGTCCTTTCTTCCTTTCTTCCTTTCTTCCTTTCTTCCTTCCTTCCTTCCTTCCTTCCT